CTTTGATTGAGTAATTGATTCGTCTAACATACAATCGAATCCAAGACCGATGTTCTCAAATTAACATACTACACCATCATGGGTCATTCTTGAAAAGTAGTAGACCCAATCCCAAATTGAACTGATTTAGACTGGAAATTTTGGGTAGAAATTAGTTGGAAAATGAATAAAAGAATGACTCTTCTAGTGATAAAAACTCGTCTTCCACTAACTTCTTTAAATTTCATTGTAATGTAACTTTGGAAAGAGACCAATGGAAAAGCAAAATTGGTTTATTAATTCAATCAGCGAAAATTTCTCACAAAGTTCAGCGAAAATCCTACACAATTAATAATTATATTTCTCTTATTGTTTTCTTTCCCTTCCAACAAGTTATCCAATCCTTTTTGTTCTTATTAATTTATAGACTTATGGTGACTCGATTGAACTTTCCCAAATAAATTTTCAACTTCTGGAAAATGTTTATTATGTCATTAAAAAATGTTTTGTTTCAGTTTATTCATGTCACGTTACATTAATTTTTTCACAATTTTCACAGATAAACATTTATCAAAATCTATTAACAACCTGATTTTAATCCCACCAAGCGGCTTAGCGACAAACATGGAGTTTACTAAGGGCGTGTTTGATAGGGAGCCAATTCCATGAAAAATGGTCCATTTTCCTACTTTTCCTTTGTTGGATAGGTTTTTCTTCTAGGCAAATGATTTTCCCACTTTTCCTCGCACACTCACATTTTCTTGCTTTTCCTTGAAATCAAGTGGTGGGAAAATGGTTTTCCATTTTTTTTGGTTTGCAATTAGAAAAAATTCTAGATACAATGGTAAAAAAATTCATCACTTTTATTGACAATTTTTATGCAAAACAAAGCTAAACAAATGANTTTTCCCACCAAAATGGTGGGAAAATGGTTTTTTTGATTTTTTTTTTGGGCAATTAGAAAAAATTCTAGATACAATGATAAAAAAATTTATCACTTTCATTGACAATTTTCGTGCAAAACAAAGCTAAACAAATGATATTCAGTATAGTAAAAAAAATTGTAATTTTTCTTAAATTTTTTGGCAATTGGAACAAATTTTAGACCCAATGGTAGAAAAAATTATCATTTTAATGAACAATTTTCATGAAAAATAAAGTCAAACGGATATCAAACTTTCAACATTTTTCAGGTGGAAAATTATATTAATCAAACACAATTATTTTCAGTTCCCCATAAAATAATTTCTAGACAATTCAATTCCTTGAAATTCATTTTCTTTTCATCCATTTTTCAATTTTGCAATTTAACGGATCCTAAAAGTTCACCGACTTCCTGGGTTTTTATCCCCTTGTTTGTTCTTTTTGCTATGGCATCTCACATAGTAAGCATGTACACACCTAGGTCACGTCTCTATCTTCAATCTATGATTAAAAATTCAAATGGTTGTTAAATTTTGCACAATTATTGATTATTAAGCTTTAAAAGTTTATCGGATGGTCACAGCCACTAAATTTTAAAAGTTTTTCGGATGGTTAACGTACTTATCAAATTTGACGGACTCGCTACTGTGATAAATGAAAAATGATGACATTGCATGTTATTATCATTGATTGATGACAAATAAGAGAAAATGCGCTTATAAAAATGCAAATAAAAGAAAGCAATAAAAAATAATATTAAATGAAAATACAAATAAGGCAAACAGGTAAAGGTTAAAATTCAATTGCGTTTTTTTCAAAGCGCATTTAGTAGATGGGAGAGCCTTTTTGGTTGAGTTGTCTTCAATCAGTGAGTCCGTTGAATTTTCTCAAAGCGAGTTATTAAATGATGTATGAAATGACAAATTGATTAATCATTCAAATAACTTTTAAATTTTGAATATTTTCAATGAAATAACAATTTGATAAGTTAGATGATCATCCAAAATTTTTTTAAACTTTAATAGCCAATGAAAAACATTGTGAAAAGTTCAATTACCATTTGGATTTTAAGCAGTCGACTGTAACCTCTTATAAGTTCTTCAAATTTTAATCATGCACGATTCTTTTGAAACATGCGTGAGTGAGAATAAAAAAAATATGAATACTTGTCTAATTTATACTTTAAGTACTTGTTTTGTATACAACATCGAGCATGAATCACTATACAATGCTTTAAGAGAGTGAGTATGAATATTCACGGCGTTAAATAAATAGTCGAAATAGCAAAGTCCTCTAATTCATTAACTAATTCGATGTTCTACTCATATTGAAAAGCTGTAATTGGAGTCAAGCGTAAAATAACATTTATAATTCAGACAATTTACTAAACTATTGAGCTCAGATTGATCTGAGTATAGAAAAATACACAATTTAGATTTGTCTATATAGTATATATCATCTTGTCGTGCTCCAATGTCTACTTCCTCGCGACTTTGTGGCAGAAAATTAACAACCATCGTGTTGTGTGTAACATACATCTGAAAAGGACCCTAAATGTGAATTAAGATAGTCAATATGAAACTTCAATTTATTGTTTTTCGTTCACAAAAGCCAAAAG